GAATGGGTTTTCTTCAATTTTCACAGTGTGGAGCTCTACGAAAATGTGTCAACACATTCCGATTTAAACATCTGACGGCACACTGTATGAAGATTTACGCTGCATGTTTGTGTGCGTAAATGACAGGGTGGAGAATCCCCAAGCCACGTTGGTTAACTTAGGATTTGCGTTCTGAACTAGCGGTTCGTATACGTGGAGAATCCTCCGCGGTGACGACACCCCGCCCTTGCAGATGTCATTGGCTCCAGAAATCTCTCGAGTTACTGACCCATTTAACCTGGTCCCACTTTTGCTAATGTGCCAGAACTAATACTTTACGCGTGCATTTCCTAAAATGTTTATTATGGATCCCGAATGTTCATCACCGTGTTCACAACAGCCTTTCCGTTGTTAGTCTTTATATCGTGAACCAGAGGAATTCAGTCTTCTTCCTTGTATGTCTCACGTATTTAAGATTCGTTTGAATATGTATCGCGGATGTTGACGTTCGAAACATCAGACCTACTGTAGTGAAAATGGCGAATGTTTCTGTCTCTTTCCGTAGTAATCTTGATAGCGCTCTTCTTGTCCTATTGCGATCAACCTCATGGCGTCAGATGCTGTTGCTACGCGTTATCTGTTACATAAAGCCGCTGTTTTATAAATTTGAACGTAGAACTGTGCGTTAGTTCAACGTCTCTCCCCTTTCTAATCAGAAGCACGCACATACAGAAGTGCTGGAGTACCGAACTACTTTGTATGGATCCTCGTTTTCTGTATTCCCTTTGGCACAGTGTTTTGACCCCGCCTCTGCCCCCCACTCCCTCCACATCCACGATCTAAAACTTTCAACCGCCAGGCAGTAATCACGATAGCCAAATAAAACAATGGCTAAAAGTCGGCATTGGGCCAGGAAACAAGGTTGTATGTGCGATTGAAATCTAGAGGTGGTTACTCTGCAGTAGTGCTGGTCAACATTGCCGCCAACTGTTGAGTAAAATCCATGGTTTGTAAAATAAGCCACTTTCTTCCGGGATTGAATTTGGTTACGTGATGTTTTCAAGAATACGTGAGTGAGAGTGGGTTGGTGTTTTTTTTATAGGAAAGGTATACAATATTGTGTCAGTTTTAATATAGGAATACCAGTATTTTAGAACTTGTTTTTGTCTTCAATCTATTTCTCGATCGTGGCCAACACACTGCATGCATTTTCATAATTACAGAATAATAATAATAATATGTAAGATCTTTACAGAAATCAATATGCTGATAGTTACGGAAGTTGCTAGCTTGTTATAAATGCAGCTAGGAGAAATCGCCCTTGAAAATAACAGAAAGTAGAAACTACTGTTTCAGGTCTCATTTCTCCTTCGGGATCTGATGAAGTTTTTTTTACAAAATTTACATAATTATAACACACCTAAAATTGTAGCTCCGTCTTATGGTTAGAATTCGTTACTATAACCAGCCCGGAAGCATACTAATCATATAAAATACTGTGTATTGGGAAGGTTTGGTAGGAATAGGTGGAAATAAATTGCAAGTGTATTTTTCTCTTTACCTTGTATTTGTAACGCATTTACAATGAAAAGGATTTGATGGTTGGGCCATCGGAGTTTTGTAAGAAATGAGATGCATAGAAATGGTGAAGGTAAAATTTGAACGAGACGTTATGAGACCAGTAGTTCACAAAAGTGGATCTTTCATAAATATTCTGTGTTTGTGCCAATGGAATGAAATGGCTAAAGTTCATTGACAGTGGCAGTATTTTTACTTTTTTATTTAACTGTCTCAGCTGTATACGTTACGTCTAATCGAATGGTGGAATTGTGACAAGTGTTGAATCGGAAAGGACACGGACTGTCTTGGATTGGAATGTAGTGCCTAGTTTTGCTGAGATGACTCTCTGATGCCTAGTTTTATGAGTAAATAACACAGAGAACCCAGTGGTTTCCATGTTTTAATTCAACAATAAGTTTTACAAGTTTCGAAAGTAACAGCTATCGATAAACGGATTTTACTGATGAAAATATTAATTACCTTGTTTTCTGCCGACCACTGTATAATTCATTGGGTGTTATTATTGACGCTTAAACAAAGAGGTGGCCATGCTTTTATCTGTCCTGTAGAAACGCTTTTCTGTGAACAGTTTCACACATTTGTGAAATACAGCCCTTATTTGCACTGGAGACAGGCAGCGTTGTATTCAGTGTTATACATTTTATCATTGTTTTGAACAATATATCGAAAGACTAATGTAATTCCTTCCAAGTGTTTAAAAACAATGCACATTACACGGCAGTGGGGAGAAATATCTTAGCGAAAGGTCGTTATAACTGTTATAATGATGGTCCATATTTAGTTAAGGGCTGAGGGGTAAAGGGGTTGGGTTACATTCAAGTGAAATATTGGCTGTGACGTACAGACCCTAATTTCCCTTTACCGCCGCCTCTACCGAAGTGGTAGAAGAGGACAGAGCTGGTTACCAACCGCAATTTCTCTCTTGCACATGGTCGTACCTGTATCTGCTTCGGTTTTGTTCGGTAGAATTACTTTGTGTAAGTGTGTTTGTATGCTAGGTTTTTGTAAGGGGTTGAGTGGTTGATCGTCCCGGGTGTGCTATAGACATCGCCTACAAAGCTACATTGTGCTCCTCAGTTATACTGTACAGCCTGTGTCAGATCACACAACCTCGCTGAGGCCGATAAATTGATACATATCATAATATATAATTCTGATATAAATTTTGATGTTTGTTAGATGGATTTTAAAGTTTTGCACCAATGCCGTTATATTCTTAGGCCCACTATTTGGTTGTGACAGAGTTTTGTGCGGTTATTATTTACTGTGCGATAATATAGAATTATTATCTTGAAGTAAATTGCGGCCAATTTTACAACACATTTCTCACTTCTTTATGTCCCATTTCGTCACTGTATGAACTGTTCGGATGACAAAACGTCAAATGGATTAAAAAACAAGAAATCGATGTAATACGAACATTTTTGCCAACTGCGTAGAGGTACATATTTTATTTAATCTGTTAATGCTTCTGTAGGTCTCTTCAGATGTGGAATCACCCCATTAGAGTAAAAAGTAAAGTAAGTAAAGCTGTCCCACTATACGCCATGTAGGCGCTTGGGGGGAGAGGAGATATACCCCATTAGAGTACTTCTCCTAAACAGAAATACAGGGAATCGCATTGACATCTCCTCGAATAGGATTTCAAACCTCGATTTTTGTGTTCGAACGGCTTTATATCGTGCTCGAGTTCTGTGATCGGAATGCCAATAAGCAATTATAAAATACAATGGATTATTTGTCAGCTGATAGTATTTGCTTAATTCGAGTATTTACAGTTTAGTAGGATTTGAGGTTTCCACGGCGGTGAGTCTGAAGATGGCTGTCTTCTGGGTTGTTGCGCCGTGTAGTCTCGTAGAGAAGTTTACCGACGTTCCAGAGGTCCTTGCTGCCTCTATGACGTGTTTGGAATTAACGACGTCGACTGTTCTAACAGGCTGCATGCGTATTGGTCCTCATGGCTGCAGTTGCGTAGTCTGGTTATTTTGATGCGTACTGCCAAGAACCGGTGTAAGAATTGTCAGTGTTTTCCGGTCCTACAAACACGACATTCTCTTTTTCGCTTTCCTGCTTTGCTCTTCGCAGCAGTTGTTTGACGTTTACCTCTTCTGGGATTTCTTGCAGGCGAACAAGATTTACGTCATCAAAATGAAAGAAAGGAATAAAAAATGTCCCTCCACGTTGTTTTCAGGTATTCATTTCTAGAGTTTTGTTGCCGTGTAAAGCTTATAATACTTTTTATTATCGCGTTCTGTTATTTGTATTAATTTATCGTTGTTTTATTTTTTTCGTATCTGTCTCCTTAGCTTACTTCTTTTTTCACTTTGGTACATTTTCATCATCCTCCCTGCTTTTACGTATATGCATTCAAATGTTTGTGTTGTGTTATCTACGTAACCCATCTACCCCATCACGACTTACTGAATATTCAAAGATCTTTCCAACGCACCATGTCTTTTGTAAAGGGATTTTATTTTTTATCTCTATGCTATACGTCAATAAGGTTCATTTTTGTTTTCTTACGTGCAGTGTATGCACCTTACTTGTAAGAGGACTATGCGAAAGAGAATTTTAAAATGAAAATATAAAACTGAATAATGCAAGGTTTTGATCTGTGTTTGCATATTTCCTTCTATAATGTTCAAGGGACGATGCAGTATTAGAACGAACCGTGTATTAATGTGAAGGATTAGTATTGAACTTTATGCCCGAATTGTGCTCGAAGATCAGTCTCCTTTGATTTATTGTGGTTAATGCTACTATGGAGTATTTCCTTTTCTCTCTTTTAGGTAAGCCCCTTGTGTTGTGCTGTGCAGTATACAAAGATGACGCCACGTGTTCCAGGTATGTGGTTGGTGTTTGTAGTAACGAGGATAATGCCGAGTGTATTTTCCACTTTTTATGAAACTTGTACAGCCTTGGAAATGGATTTATATGCGAAAGTTTGAAGCAGTTGTCCGTCTACAGTTAGTTATAATATGCCATGGTTTTTAAAGTGAGATATTCGGTTTCTAGCCGCCGTTAAATATGAAAATATTTGCCGCTTTAGAGGGTGGTTGAACGAGAGAAAATTCATGTTCTCTTGGGATGATATTAAAAAGGTGAGTTTCGTTTACCCATGATTGCCTGTGACTTTGAATGTATAAATTGATAGGGCAACAGCAGCCTGGGTAGCACTTTCGATGGCTCGTGCTTAATACGTGTTGCTATTAGACTAGTAGTGCTTTTTATGGAACGAATGAGTATTTTTGGTATTACCTAAGACATAACATGATGTACGTGACGGGTGTCTATATAATTTGTCATTGTTCTAAGGCGGTCTGATAATAATAATAATAATGGCTTAATTAGCACTGTGAGTGAGTCAAAACCAGTACTTTATATCCGGCAGTTGGTTGTAGGTACTTTGTGATTGATGTATCGTAATCCGCTCATGTTATCAGAAATTTGCGAATCGTACTAATCATGATTGTAGAGAATAAACTAGTGGGGTTATACCTTCCTGCTCATATTGCCAACCTCCTCAGAAATCTACATGATCAGTTATTGGTTTTGGGGTAACTGATACTGATTGATTTTTGCTTTATTTAACAAAGATATTTCATCGTCAAGTGATGGATATAGTTTGATTGATTAAAAGGGGCATGTAAGAAAGTGGCCTATTGTAAAGAATGAGTCGTCGTTTATCTCATCCGACACTAGTTAACCAAATCTTGCTGCCTTGTGGTAACAGCAGTCATATTTTTGTTCGGTGTATGTCCAGTTCAAATCTCGGTCGGAGACCTTCTATCGTTGTGAGGTGTTTGGCGGTTTTCCTGTCCCAACAGGCAAATGTTACATTAGACCACGACTGCTTCTCCCATATCCTTTTCAGTCATCCTATCATTGTATATATAGCGTGAGCTCTAACAAGCGCAGATTCTATTTAATCCCTGCAACTGATATGGAGTATTTTAATAAGCTATGAATTAATCAAAATACACCACGACTGCCGTGTTCCTCCTACTTGCTGACTCATTGCTTGTACGTATTAGTCGTGTCATTCCTCATTCGTGCTATAAATCCTTTCCAGCTGACTTTGCAATATACAGAGAACAATCGAGGAACGACATTAGTGCTTGCGAACTGTTACCGTGACGTATAAGCCACATCGCATGACGTCAGCACAGATGAAGTGTGTCGACGGAGGTACGTTCAGTGTAAAATTAGTTTTCAATATTTATAAACTATTTTTCGTATAATATAAATGAGGTTTGTACAAAATGGCGTGATGGGCTATTCCATTTAGGAGTTTGAAAATTTATTCTTTTATCATTCTGTGTTATACAAAATGGCGTGATGGGCTATTGCTTCGGTAGACCTGTTTGTATTCCATTTAGAAGTTTCAAAATTTATTCTTTTATCATTCTGTGTTTCTCTCAAGACGGACGTTATAACAAAGCACGTTTGATATTTGTACATTAACGAGCTTAAAATTTTATATTTGTCATGTAAAATTAGTAGGGTGATTAAATAAAGAATAATGAAATGAACGGGTCATGTTTCACGCATTAAGAAGTAAGAATTGTGGGCAGAATTTTGTTCGGGAAACTTTGGTTTGCAGTGTAGTTGCTCAGAAGCCCGGTTTCTGTTTAAGTTTTATGACCCGCAGATGTACAGAATGTAATACAAGTAACACATCTTTTAGTACTGCCAGTATAAAGACGTCGTTTCAGTGGGACCGTAAACTGTTAATCCAGAGTTACTGCGTGTGTGTGAGTGAAGTTGCCCGAGACATTAACGTCGAGTGCTGCATTAGTTCACTCTTGAAGTTTGCTGTTAACTTGTATACCTGCCGTCATTCACCCTCAGTGTTCAGTAAAATCTCTTGTGGTGGCACCGAATCACAATTTTGTTTACCAGAATTCTATCCACTCCAGTCTTTCTTATAAACTATTAATACATCCTTTGGCAAGGATACAGTTACGTTTTGGAGCCAAGAAATCGTTTGTCTCTTTATGAACTTAATATATTACATAAATTTGATCGAGGTGGTAATTTGAGTGCTGACGTCGGACGGGAGGTGATGAAAGATGGTTGGCTTTCGAACCCGGGCTCTCTCAGATTCGAAACAGGAATAGTAGCCAAAGATCCGCTATGTTCAGTCGATAAAGAGGGTATAAACGTGAAAGAATGACAGCGGGGATATCATAGGAAATATGTTCCTTTTAAAGAGCACATTTATAACAACACGGGAACTATCCGATTTGTCTCAGGTTTTGCAGTGGGCAGTTCTCTGACTTCTGCCCAAAATATTAAGTGTAAACATTACTGTTTGTTTTTCCTAATACAGTTTTATTTCCACTTTATTCACTGTTAACTTCGTAAGTTTCTTAAAAGGATGGCACTTAACGTTCTTCGGCGATATTTCAATTGGTAGCGTATTTGCGAAAGTTTCGGGCTGTCGGGGTTCTATTCCCAGTGAGGTGATGTTTTTAGACACATGTATTTAATGGCGTGGTGGCGGTAGAACTTGTTTTATTTTTGGATGGGTTTACGATTTAAAAAAAAACACAAAATGAGACTGAGACTCGTGACAAAATATATTAGCAGTAAGGACAATGCTACTTTTGCAGAAGCAGTTGAAGCTGTTTAGTTGTTTAAAAAACAGTCATACTAATCCCAAATATTCCTTCGTTTTCAGATGTGATTAAAGGAGGGAAGTAAGGAAATAAATAAATACATACAGAGGTTTAAATAAATGAAATTTTACAGCATGCAAAGAGGATTTTTCCTCTAGCCTCTGTGTCCAGACCGGCTCTGGGACCCACCCAGCCTCCTATCCAATGGGTACCGGGGTCCTTTCCCAGGGGTAAAGCCGGCCGGGGCGTGATGCTGACTACTCACCTCCATCTAGTGCCGAGGTCAAGGAAGAGAGGAGCTATACCTCCACTCCCCCCAAGCGCCTACATGGCGTATAGTGGGACAAACTTTACTTTACTTGCAAAACTATTACAAACATGTCGATTAAAAAAATATATCTCAATGGGATTCTAACCCCAGCCGCCCACACTGTAGGTAGACATGCTGCAAACTAACCATTGCGAAGAAGATAAGAGCTCTTACTTTAGTGAGACGAGAAGCAACAGTTAAGGAAGCGGAAAATAAAGATTACTTATTACAACGAGACGGTGAAGTGTCGACAAATAATAGTTTGACCAGGAACTTAATAAGAGGGGACACTTACGTACTGAAAATGAGGATTTCAATCGCTTGGGTCTCCTCGTAAGAACACAAATAATAAAAGATGTAAAATTGCAATGTTTTCGTCATTTTTATAGGCCTGCCTGCTAACTTGATCTCTCACTCTTGGCAAACAAATGGAGGACGTTTGAAGTGCTGTGGTATATATTTTTTTCCTAAGAGACAGGGAAACGGAAAAAATGAACTTCACAGTTTTACTATTAATGTTCTGTTAGTGACATAAAGTGAACACGTGTGAGGCCAGAAAGGAGAAACACACGAAATATGTTCATTTTTATTGGAAATTTTCTTTTAAATAGAACTCGGATAGAGCATTTATGTAAATGGAGAACATGTATATTGGTTTTTCGATAGTACTGTCTCAGGATTTGATCCAGTGACTGTCCTGTGTAATATCGGGTGATAAAACTTCTGGTCCCTCAACAGCTGGTATCGACGTTATGGGCTGGGGTTCTAATAGAGTCTTCAAGTAAGCCGTACTAAATTTTAAAAACGCAGGGAATGTTTGGATCTGTTTAATATTCAGTTACCAGTTGCTTAAGCGTATTCTCACTATGTATTTCCAAAATATTTTATTTTCTTATATGAATATTATGATGGGCATTTTTCATTGCCTTAGGTACGGTGAACCCAAGGGGGGGGGGGGGCAAACCGCCCTATTACAATGTCGAGGCATTTTTCATTGCCTTAGGTATGGTGAACCCAAAGGGAGGGAAGGGGGCAAACCGCCCTATTACAATGTCGCTTCTCTCCCTTCCTTCACCTCTGCTGGTTGGCCAAAACGTGTGTATTTTATAACGGTTGACCGTGTTCGGAGATACCTTTCCACATGTATGTATTTGGTACATACGACGTTTCGGGAATTGGCCCTACTCTCGTCTTCAGTTGTATCATTTAGTTAGATATTGAATACGCAGTCTACAGAAAGACATTAATTTGGTTTACAAGTCTAAATATATGTCACACGCATATTGGAGATGTGTAACTAATATTATTGATGCAGGGATATTCGAATTTGTTACCGCGTACTATATTCCACAAAAATCCATTAACATCGAATTATATCTTCATGAAAATTGCCTCTAAAATAAATACAATTATTGCTGTTAATTGGAACTCAACGAAATATTTACCATTACTAATGTAAGCGTGTAACACCATTGAAAATAAACTAAAACTTAATGTTTAAATTATGTTTGTGAGTAAATATACGTTCCACAGCTCAATTGAATGTGGTAAGCACATGTAGGCCTATATATTAAACTGTGCTTGCCAGGACGCAGAGAGAAGAGAGAGATGTATATATAGGTTACATTAAACAGCATAGGCCTAGATCATAACATGACATTAAATCATATGGGTTATATGCATATATTCGTGTGTAGAGAGACTTTATAGGATCACGTATATGAGTGTTTTTTGTATATTCTGTAAACAACACTAGAGCCCTCAGGGATCGCCTGTAGTATGCCAAGCTGCAGTGGAGAAGGGTTCACAGGATACAGTGCAGTGGAATAACAAAAACCAGAGCTTCAAAACCACAAAACAGAACAAAAAATTCCTGA